GATATATTGCTATGTATAAGCATATATACACATATATATATATATAGCGAGGGAGATCTACAAACATAGTACGATATAGTGTGTATGTGTTTAATGTGTATGAATGTGTTGATATATCAATGTATTAATATATCAGTAGGGATACATAGTTGTGTGCATATGTATGTGCATATGGTTGCAAGCCTTTGCGTATATGCCCATCTATGGTGTATACATGAACACGAGTACACTTGTACACGGCTCTATGGACCGGTCCCCCTAAAATCCCCTCCCGTTTTAGGGGGACCGGTCCCCCTAAAATCCCATCCGGTTTCAGGGGGACCAGACCCCCTAAAATCCTGCCCCGTTTTAGGGGGACCGTTCGCTTCAAAATGCCTTCCCGTTTTGCAGGGACCGCCCTCCCCCTAAAATTCCTTCCGCAGGAGGCCTGCAAAACGCCCCAAGAGGCACCCCCAAGATCGCTACAAGACAGCCCAAGAGGCTTCCAAGATGGCCCCAAAACGACCAATGAGGCCCCAAGATGGCCCAAGACGCCTCCAAGGCGACCTAAGAGGCCCCCGAGACGGCTCCAAGAGTGTTCCTAGACGGGGGACCCGAACGGACATTTCGAGCCCTCATCCCAGGGGAGCGGTCCCCCTAAAACGGGCGCCATTTTTAAAGGGACCCGTCCCCCTAAAATCCCATCTGGTTTTCGGGGGACCGGTCCCCCTGCAATCCCCTCCCGTTTTAGGGGGACCGGTCCCCCTAAAATCCCATCCGGTTTTAGGGGGACCAGTCCCCCTAGAATCCTTTCCCGTTTTAGGGGGAGCGGTCGCTCTAAAATGCCTTCCCGTTTTACAGGGACCGCCCTCCCACTAAAATTCCTTCCGCAGGAGGCCTGCAAAACGCCCCAAGAGGCAGCCCAAAGATCGCTACAAGACGGCCCAAGAGGCTTCCAAGATGGCCCCAAAACGACCAATGAGGCCCCAAGACGGCCCAATACGATTCCAACGCGGCCTAAGAGGCCCCCGAGACGGCTCCAAGAGTGTGCCTAAACGGGGGACCCGAACGGACATTGACATTTCGAGCCCTCATCCCAGGGGAGCGGTCCCCCCAAAATGAGCGCCATTTTTAAGGGGACCGGTCCCCCTAAAATCCCATACGGTCTTTGGGGGACCGGTCCCCCTAAAATCCCCTCCCGTTTTAGGGGGACCCGTCCCTCTAAAATCCCATCCGGTTTTAGGGGTACCAGTCCCCCTAGAATCCTTTCCCGTTTTAGGGGGAGCGGTCGCTCTAAAATGCCTTCCCGTTTTACAGGGACCGCCCTCCCACTAAAATTCCTTCCGCAGGAGGCCTGCAAAACGCCCCAAGAGGCAGCCCCAAGATCGCTACAAGACGGCCCAAGAGGCTTCCAAGATGGCCCCAAAACGACCAATGAGGCCCCAAGACGGCCCAAGACGCCTCCAAGGCGGCCTAAGAGGCCCCCGAGACGGCTCCTATTGTTATTAGTATTATTTTTAGTCTTATTATTACTACTACTCGTAATATTAGTTTTATTAGCTATAGCAGTATTATTATTCTTATTATTATTACTACTACTATTACTACTATTATTATTATTTTATTATTATTATTAGTATTATTATTATTACTATTATTACTGTTAGTATTATTATTATTAGTAGTATTAGTATTGATATTATTACTATTATTATTATTAGTAGTAGTAGTAGCATTGTTAGTATTATTATTATTAATATTGTTATTAGTATTAGTATTAGTAGTAGTATTATTATCAGTATTAGCAGTATTAGTAGTATTAATATGACTCGCATTATTGTTAGTATTAGTATTGTTAGTATTGTTATGATTGTTGATATAGTTAGTATTATTATTTTCCGTATTAGTATTAGTATTATTATTAGTACTAGTAGTAGTAGTAGTAGTAGTAGTAGTAGTAGTAGTAGTAGTAGTAGTAGTAATAGTGGTAGTAGTAGTAGTAGTAGTAGTAGTAGTAGTAGTATGAGGGTGCGTTTCATTCTTATTGTTGTAAAATTAGAATTGCTAGGTACTCTTATGGTGTATTCCTAGTGGTAGTCGGAATTATAGTACGATTCGTGTGCTTAATATTAGTATTAGTATTGTTAAGATCACTCGTAGTAGCAGTAGTATTAGTAGTAGTGGTAGTAGTCGTAGTCGTAGCCGTAGTCGTAGTCGTAATAGAAGTAGTAGTAGTAGTAGTAGCAGCAGTAGTAGTAGTAGTAGTTGTAGTAGTAGTAGTAGTCGTAGTAGTAGTAGTAGTAGTAGTAGTAGTAGTAGTAGCAGTAGCAGTAGTAGTAATAGTAGTAGTAGTAGTAGTAGTCGTCGTAGTCGTCGTCGTAGTAGTCGTAGTAGTAGTAGTAGTAGTCGTCGTCGAAGTAGTAGTAGTAGTACTAGTAGTAGTAGTAGTAGTCGTCGTCGTAGTAGTAGCAGCAGTAGTCGTCGAAGTAGTAGTAGTAGTAGTAGTAGTAGTGGTAGTAGTAGTAGTAGTAGTAGTAGTCGTAGTAATAGTAGTAGTAGTAGTAGTAGCAGTAGTAGTAGTAGTAGTAGTAGTAGTAGTAGTAGTCGTAGTAGTAGCCGTAGCCGTAGTAGTAGTCGTAGTAGGTTTAGTCATATGATTGTTCGTGTTATTCTTATTGTCCGTATTAGTACTAATATTTGCTCCGTCTTAATATTAGTATTACTACCATTAGTCTTATTCGTATCATTCCTCCTCTTCCTCTTCCTTCTCCTCCTCTTCCGCCTCCGCCTCCGCCTCCGCCGCCTCCTCCTCATCCTCCTCCTCATCCTCCTCATCCTCATCCTCCTCCTCCTCCTCCTCCTCCTCCTCCCCCCCCCCCCCCCTCCTCCTCCTCCTCCCCCTCCTCCTCCTCCCTCTTCCTCCTCCTCTTCCCCCCCTCTCCTTCCTCCTCCTCCTCTTCCTCCTCCTCCCCTCCTCCTTCCCCCCTTCCATCCCCCCCCCCATCCCCCTCCCCCTCCTCCACCTCCTCCTCCTGCGCACGAATCTAGGGAGCAAGGGAGGCGAGGTCCCCCAGTCCTGACAGCAAAACGAGAGGGGGGGGGGGCCATCGGAGAGAAACCTTTTGTCACCCGACCAAGGCTTGACGAACCCTGGCAGGGGCCAGCGACAGCCCCCCCCCCCTCCAAAAATCAATATGGTCCCGAGGAGCGTCGCGCTTCGGGCGACTCTCCCCGCAGCAGTCCGCAGCCTCGGACCGCCTCGCGCCAGTCTTCGCCCAGCTGGCCGCAACGGAGGCCCAAGCTGCGGGCGGGGGCCGAGACCGCGAGCCTGGGCGAGGGAGGGAGCACGCTGCGGCGGGCCTCGAGGCAGGCGGGCCCCGAGACAGCGCTCCTCCGACCCCCGCCGCAAGACGACGCCGCCTCCATCCTCGACGGCGGCGCCAGCCTCCCCAGCCTCCAGCTGGGAGGCCCCCGCGAGGTGGGCCGAGTGCGCCGTGCGAAGCCCAGCCGACGCGGCCGAGCTGGGAGGGGGCTCCACCCCGACAGCGTGGCGCAAGCCACAAGCAGACGTGCTTCCTCCTCCCCCGCTCACCGACGGGACGACACCTCCTCCTTCCTCCGCTGCGGCACCAGCATCCCCAGCGAGGCGCTGGGACGCCCCCGCGGGGTGGGCCGCTCGAGCGCCGGCGCCAGCCAGCCCAGCCTCCAGCTGGGAGACCCCCGAAGGGTGGGCCGACAGCGCCGCGCAGGGCCCAGCCGAA